CGGAGGGCGGCTGAGGCTGCTGGCCCCACCTGTGTCAAGCTGGGCCAGTGGGCCAGCACCCGGAGGGACCTCTTCTCCGAGGCCTTCTGTGATGAGTTTTCCAAGTTGCACGTTGAAGTGAGCCCGCACCCGTGGAGTCACACTGATGAGCTCCTGAGGAAGGCCTTTGGCGAGGACTGGACAGGCATCCTCAAGTTCCAAAGCCGGGAGCCCGTCGGCTCGGGCTGCGTCGCCCAGGTGTATAAAGCTTATGCTGACCTCACAGCTATCGCTGGCTCCCAGGCCAAGGAGCTAGCGCAACACTCGGAGTTACGGTCTGCTTTTGAAGCATGGGAAGTGTCAGGCTTTAGAGGCCTCCTCAGGTGGCTGAGGAGGAGGAAGAGCGAGGAGATGCGGGACGAGAGGAGCAGGGAGGAGCTGAGCTCAGCAGATTGCTCTTGGGGAAGTCCTGTGAGTGGGACATCCCTTATGGAGCAGATGGCCAAGCCACTCCTGAATGCAAATCCTTCATCAGCTGGACTTCTCATGCCTGTAGCCATTAAAGTAAGTCATATATCTGGCCAGTAGATGTGTGAAAAAGGAGCATGCTGGATGAGGCCGATCAGATTTTAATTCCCATGGAGATGAGTAGCTGGCTAGGGCCAGGTAGAGTGAGAGAAGTGATGCTCGTCTCCCTCGGTGTCTTCTCAGCACTTTGGTTCCAGCCAGCTGCAATCTGGACTTGCAGTGGCCCCAGCTCTTCCCAACCCAGAGAGCTCGAATACGCATTCTGCCTATGGCACCTTTGACGTGGCATGTGGATACCAGTAATGCCTGCAAGGGCCCAGTTCATATTAAAATAATGAATATTAAGCTTGGCTTCACCTTCCAGAAAATGAAACCCCTTCTCTCCTCATGTGAAGAAATCTGGAACAGATAAGTTCTTTCCAGCAAAGTTTATTTAAAGAAATCTTACATTTGAGCTATTCCAAATACTAGTCAGTACTGCATGGCACGGAGAGGGTGGGAGTGCAAAAGCAATGGAAAATGGCATTGCATGAGACTGTAGGCTCCAGCACAGATATATTCCATTTGAAGATTATAATGTCTTTCTTTACAGCTTAATGGCAAAATGTGAATTCTTCTGAGGACTAGCTGGGGAAGCCTTGTTAGCTCTCAGTTTTATAGGCTGGGTTCTGTCTATTTGGAATGCATCACTAGCTGATTGAAATGAACTGTCCTTTTTACAGCATTTGGGGAGTTGATCTTGCCACCGTTCATTCTTGCGCAGGTCCTGCACCCTGGGCTAGTCCACCAAGTCCAGATGGATCTGTTTCTCATGAAGATGGGTAGCCACATCATTGGACTTCTCCCTGGATTCAAGTGGCTCAGTTTGACAGAGATTGTGGAGGAGTTTGAGAAGCTTATGATTCAGCAGGTGTGTGCCATGCCATGGTCCCCACGTACTGAAACAAAACTGCCCTTTGTCTTGCTACTGGCTGGCTCTAACTGTTCATACGGCTACTTTTTTAAAGGGTTAGATGAAGGCTTCTTCTTTAGCTATGTTCTTTATTCTCATCAGTCACATAATGTTACTGTAGGAAAGCTTTATACACTCACAGAGTAAAAAAGCAAAGCAATGAAAAAATTTAACAATCTTTATTAGGTTTAAAAATATTTTTTAGACTTAGAAAATCTTTTCTAGACTTTGAGTATGTTTTCTAGCGAACAGCCTGAACAGCTAGCTAGCCATAGTCACAGTCCTTTTTGCAGCGTTGTGAAAGATGAACACTGGTGAGAGACTTCTCCTTAGGAAAAGAATCTCTCCGGACAAGTGCTCAGATGTGTTTTTTTTCTCTTTAATCCTACACATATGTTTGCAATCTATACTCACTGGTCATGTTTGTTAGCACTGAGGTGTATATATATATTGGCATAACTAATATACTTTCACGTAAGTTAATAATACATTCTATATTGTTATCAGACTCATAGTATTGGTAAAGTTAAGCTTTGCAAGTAGATCTGAAAACATGTCCTGATTCACTAATGTCTTCTAAAGACACACTCCTGAAACGTCCTTACTACCAAACTTAAAAAGATTTCACTACAGGCTTAATTAGGCTTATGTTTCTATTAAAATGAACCATTATCTGCTAATTTCATTTTTGTGTCTAGAGTGCAGAGTCTGAAGTCTGTTACAAGCTTTTGAAAGCCTTAACTCTTTTCTAATATTGCAAAAAATCTACACAGTAAATCCATGTTGTAAACTGTTGACTGTATTCAGATGTGACTCAAGGTCATTAGTACCAGTTTAGTCCGGCAGAGCTTTCGGTGGATGCGCTGCAGACTGAGGATTAGGAGAGCATCTGATAGGCTTGTTGTAATTTCCTTTCATTTCTCTTTGAAAGAACAAGTATTCCTGGGATATTTCCCGTTGCCAGATGAGGGAGGTGAGGCAAGGTTTTCCTGCCTCCTTGAGCAGCAGCAGTGGGCAGGAGAGATGCCCTTGTGTCAAGGCACTGGATCACTGAAGAGCTAGGGCCAGGACTTTGCATAATGGATTATTTTGTATGTGTTACACTAAATTTCTTCCTGCTATGGCTGCCTATCTGTAAAAGGCTAGGGCTGCAGTTCTTCTACCCTGTCTGCCTGCCTCGCTATTTGGACGGTAAGCTTTGGTTCAGGATCTGTCTTACCCTTGAAAATAATGCGGTCCTGGTCTTTTTTGAGACACCATGCCTATAGTAAGAGTCACCCATATTTCGAAGGTGCTGGGTTGTGGGCCATCTGTTACCCAGTCTGTTACTCTACTCTTCCATGAGGAAAGCTATAAGCATGTAAGAAGCACTGCTCTGTTTTGTTTTCATTCTGGCTTTCTTACTAGTTTTGTTGGTATTGAGTATTGCACCATACAGTCATATCCTCATACAGGATCCTGAAGATCTAATTCTAATTGAATCTAATAGCCAACCTGCTTTTTCATTTTCTCCTTTGAGATTGACTTACGCTACGAAGCCAGAAATCTGGAGCGCTTCCGACAAAATTTCCTAGATGTTGATTTTGTGAAGTTTCCAACTCCCCTTCGGCCTTTGGTAACGGCAGATGTTCTAGTGGAAACATTTGAGGTAAGAATGCAGGGTCTGGGAGTGGTGGTAGCAGTGAGAAGGCCCTTAGGAGAACATGCCACGGCGGTGTTTTTTTGAGAAGGAGCGATCAGAGGCAGAAGGATGCTTTTATCTTACTTGCTTACAGAGATTGGTGTCCTTCCTCAGTGTCTCTTCCACTCTCTCTGTTTGTAAGCAGTGCATCCCAGAAGACAGGTGGCAGAGAACTCCATGTAGAAGTGAACACTTGGCCTGAAACCAAGCGGACCAGCAGTGTGTCCAGCCACCATGTGCTTGCCTGTGCTTTGCAAACCAACACCACACTTCAACTCTCCTCAGTGGTGGGTCAAAGCAAGGAGCTCAGCAATCTGACACTTTCTGATGCTTGCCTCACTTCCCTTGTGGATGTTTGAGTCACAGACCAAAGCTACTCTCAGCCTTAAGTTTTCGTGCATGTGATCCTGGCAAGAGTATTTCTGCCCCAGGCTGTATCACACCCTCCTTCCAAAGAACAAACCCTTGCTTCGCTAATGTTCTCTGTCACATTAGGTACAGCCTCTATCGAGCAGGTCCTTTCTAGGGTATTGTTATTGCCTTCCCTCAACTCCTGGCACCTAGGTAAAGGTGTGGTTGAAGGTGGGACACAGCGTGTGTTTGACTCCAGTTCCGTCTTTATTTCAGGAGAGTGAGCCTATTTCGCACTACCTGCATGCAGAGATTGCCACAGAGCTGAGGCGGAGACTTGCAAAGATGGGCATGGACATGCTGCTAAAGATGGTAAGCACTTGGCTGAGGCTGGAAGTGAAGGTTGTTGGGGTAATAAGACAGTATGGCTAAAGAGAGAACCTGTTTGCTTCCCACGTCTCCTACCCTTCTCCCCATGGACTCAAAGATAGAGCTGTGCCTTTTGGAGCCAGCCTGTGGATGCCAGGTATCTTGCGGTAACCCAGAACTTGGGCTGCTGGGGCACTGTGCAGCTCCTGAACTGATAGAGGGAGGGTCTGCACTTCATGTGCGGTGTTACACAAGGTCTGAGTAAAGCCTGGGCTAGATACACCACTACTGTAGACTTTGACACGGAGCTTCTTCCACTGCAGAAGGGCAATCTGCTTGCACACAGTAGGGTCTCCTATGCAACTTGATTTGTGCATTGCTTAGGAAACCCACTAATCCATTTAATGAATATTCACATATTGCCCAAGTGTTATAAAGTGCAATGTAATTAGCAAATAATCATGCTCTCTGCATGGACCATGGATGCAACTTACAGGGAAAACAGCTAGCTAGTTTCTTCATTTATTGACCCCTCCTCTAAAACTGCCTTTTTTTAAGGAAGACCTAAATATGGAGTAAAGAAAGCAAACCTGGCCAGATTCAGCTTATGATTCAGCTTCTGTCTAGTTCTTTTGTGGTCGAAATAATCACAAATGATCTGGAAAGGAGTGTTGAGAGGTGGCTCGTGAGGAGCCACAAGAACTAGTGGGGAAGAGTTGCAAAAGAACCTCAGTACCGAGTGCGTGGGCAGTAAGTGTCAGATGAAATTCAGTTGATAACTGCAACATCATGCTAGAGTGATGGTGAGGCCTGCAGTTCTGACTCCGTGTAGTATGACAGACTCTGAAATAGCTTTTACCCCTCAGAAAAGCAATGGTGGAGCTATAATAGTTTTATGCTAACATTAGATTCAATGGTTAGGAGTAAAGCAAAACCCCCAAATTTTATGACTAGAAAAGAACTAAAGAGCAAAGAAACAACATAATGGCTGTAAGTAAAACAAATGCCTGTTTCTTGAATACTCTGTGCAGTTCTAGTCCCTTGCTGTCCAGGACCCTCCATTTCAAGAGCTGTAATAGAACTAGAAGAGGTACAGAGGAAGGCAGCCAGGATGGTTACTGGTGTGGAATGGCTTCCATACAGGGATGGTGAAATAATTTGGACTCATAACTCTGGAGAGCAGAGAAATGAGAGTAGCTTATGACAGAGATATATGCAGTCATGGGCACATGAGAGTGAATATGGATCTGTTGTGTATGGGTTCTCAGAACAATGAGGAAGGCATAAACAAAATTATCAGAGGTCACTTTTCCAGGCAACACCTAAAAAAAAAAATCTTTTTTTCACACAGCTCTGATTATTTACGTGGCAATTGGACAAATTCGTAGGAGAAATCCATCAAATACAAAGATAATCTCCTTGGGGCAGGAAGTCCTGCAGTCCCAGGTTGCCAGGAGGGTTAGTGGGGAAGTACTACCTTGTGCTTGCCCTCTTGCTAGTCCTTTCTGCTACTAACTGCTAGCAGAGGCAGAGAATGCTACATACATTTGTTTCCTCTTCTCTTGTTTTCCTCACTTTTCAATACAGTTGTAATGTGGGTTGTTGTCCCAGACTAGACAAACTTAACCGTTCTCTATAACCCATACCACTGAATGGCAAATGGCCTATTCTTACTGCATTACTCTTTGCCGAGGCCTACCAGCATGCATCCAGTTTAGGGTTAATTGCCAAAGAGCACTACCATTCCCTGCCTGGGACTCCCGGCGGTCCTACCTGACCTCTAGGAAACAAACAGGATTGCTTCACACAGCTCTGACTCCCCTAGAATGAGTAGCACCTGTGCCATTTCAGCACATCTGGTCTCCAGCAGAAGCCACTTGCTGTGTTGCTGCCTAGGGTGATGCACACTCGTAATGACAGTGAACAGACCAGAAATGAACCTCTGCTATTTGCCTAGGAGTTTTGGTGTGGGCAGGTTTGGTTGGAATGAGCTGCTCTAAGACTTGCTCTTCCTCTAGGTCTTTGTTGACAACTTTGTCCATGCTGACCTGCACCCTGGGAACATCCTGGTTCAAGGCACGGCCCATGTCAGCACCAGCTGCAAGGAGCAGACAGCCATCGTGGACCTGTGTGACACGCTCGTGGTGGAAGTGCAGCCGCCCCTCAGGCGGCTCTGCCTGGTGCTGCTGGACGCGGGGATCGTGGCGGAGCTGCAGAGCGCTGACATGCAGAACTTCCGGGCAGTTTTCACAGCTGTGGTCCAGGGCCAGGTGAGGCCTCTGTCATGGGGCTGTGGAGCTGAGGCTGGGGAAGGGAGACAGCTGAAGAGTCTGATGGCTGAAGTGATAGTTTTCTCTCTACTTCCCCTTACAATCCTCCCTAAGAGGGGAGAGGAGACTTGCTAGCGTGGAAGCTATACCAGACACAGGGATAAGATGTTCAGCTACGGCAAGGAGGCTGCCAGAGTGGAGCAATTTCAGTAGCCCAGGAAACAGAAGGTGTTAAATGGGAAGCATTGGCTGCCACTCCGTGGTTAGGAGTGCTTCTGATGCAAGTTAGGACTGCCTGGGAGCCGCTCGCATTTCAGACTGTTGCAGAATCTGCCAGATTTTGCTAGAGAACAGGAGGGAATGGATTAACATCTTGGTCTTCCACACATGTTCCCTTCTGCAGCCTTGCTGCTGGAAAGCCCATATGCCATCCTCCATTTTGCTGTTGCGTCAGTGTCTGTAGAGAGGAGGAAGCAAAACAGGTGCGGGGGGGGTGGTGTGGTGTCTGACCTCTACCAGGCTTCTCTGTATAAGGGCAACTACTTTATTCTCCTTCCCACTTATTTAAAATACACTCTCAGCTGGATTAGAGAATCCAGTGCTGATGTCTCCTGTACAATCTGAGAACAAGCATCTGTGCTCATACTTGCATGTTGCTGTTTCTCAGCTGTGGGTTGGATGGCTCACCAGCATGTCTCAAGAGGGACACGTTTTAACTTGTTCTGTTTAATCTGCCAGAGCATACTGAGGAGTCAGTGCTAAACCATGTATTCAGGCCCATCCTGTGCTGCCAGACTTACTTCTCAGCTACTAAGCAAAAACTGCAAACATTTGATTGCAAGTCCTTCATGGCTCAGGCTGGGTGTAATTCATGATCTGCATGTGAAAAACTTCTACACCGTCTCATTGCCAAACCTGGGGCCTCTGGCTCTGTACGTTGCTGTCAGACATGTCTTCCAAGAAGAGCTATAGAGCCTGTCACAAGTGAAGCTTGGGTATGGTTCTCCCCCTTTCTCACCAAGCATCTGCTGGTGTAGAATCAGCTCGTTCTTCCTCCACAGTTTGCAAATGGAAGGTTGGACTCAGCCCATAAGGGAGGTTAATAGAAGTCTGTCTTTACACCATTATCTTCTCTGCTAAGAAGAAAATGCCAGTCCTGTGGGTTTTATTTTTCCCCCTGAAACTTCTCCTTACTGCCTGAGAGAGATCTTTGTTGTGTTCTACACTACAAGACCTGCAAGAAAAATAAGCAGGGTTTTGCCAGATACCAGCTAAGACTTTTGGACCAGTTGTGCTCTTCCTGCACCTGCTTCTGTTGATTCGTTGGGTCTCCGTTGCTGGAATGGGGAAGCATGGTCCTGGGAGTTCTCCCTGCAGTATGCTTCCTCTAGGGACCTTTGCAGCAGAGGCCTTCCAGGGACAATGATGTGCAGCTCCCTGTAGACCTGCTGGCACCAGTGATCAAGCTCTGATTCTCCTTTTCAACTTGTTTCACAGGGGGAGAGAGTGGCAGAACTGATCCTTCATCACGCCCGTGCTAACCAGTGCCAGGATATTGAGCGATTCAAAGCTGAGATGGCGGAACTAGTGACCAAGGTCCGGGGGAACACCATTGCCCTAGGAAAGGCAAGTGCACAATGTCCCACCCTCACTTACCTGTAATCCAGTGCAACTTGGCTTTCAGAATAATCCATGTGGAAAGGCCAGCTCTGATGTCATCAGCACCACCAACCAGTACTGGGCACTTTTAGTGTCTGAGGTGCAGCAAAAGTCCATAAAATCCTTTCTTATTTCCTTCTAATTAAAAAAAGCATGTGTTCGGGTTTTGTTACTGGTTGTTGTTTTTTTTAAATCTCTAACATCTGCAGTTCCCTGTCAGGAGTTGCTGAGCCTGATGTTACAGCTTGCATCCTGTTAGCTAAGGCCAGCCTGGGCACTTCAGAGAGTGTAGTACGGTGGTATTGAGCAAATTAATGCATGTTGTGTACTGCTGTGAGGTCAGATGTTCTCAGCCTTCCTGGGCTGGCAAGTAAGCAGAACCATGGGTCACAGCTGAACTCCTTATTCTGGGCAGGGTGGGGGGGATCATACCTTGATGTTGGCTGTTATCAGCCCAATAATCTTGTCCCACCACCAGAACCAAATGCTAACAAACACTTAGAAGTCACTCTGTCACTGCCTGTCACTCATGTGGCTCAGTCTTCTTGACCACAGGTTTTTTTGATCAGTTGTTAACTTCTTTTGTATTCCAGCTTCAGGTGGCAAATCTCCTCTCGAATGTCTTTAAACTATTGATGACCCATAAGGTGAGGTCCTGTCACTGTCTGCCTTCAACAGCTGGAAGTTTATTTGGGGAGGGAGAACTATGGGGAACATGAAGGGCTGACAAGGAGGGGGACTGACTTCTGAAACGAACTGCTAGGAGGGGGACTGCAGGGATGCATCTGAGTGTTGCAGACATGCTGTTTCTCAGGTCTTGATACACACCCTACCAAGACCAATTTCTGTTTTGTTGGGTTTTGTCTTAATACTGCATTTAATGGTTGATATTATTTACTAAAAGGAATGTTTCTGTTACACATAGTTCTTCCTATCTTTTTTATAGTCCCTTAGAAGCAGAAACTGAAATCTAATGTATGTTCCACTTGTATACCATTGCATGCTTTCTTCCCTGGACCTCTTGCTTGATATGGAGTTACGTAACAGCACCAGGCCACTTTTTCTGGTTTGTTAGAGGCCTCAAAAGTGAGAAGCTGCTCACAGAACAGAGATTCCTTCTTATAACTGATAGTATTTGGGGGACAAGTTTCCACGGTTGCAAACAACTTTGGAAATCAACAGAGCTATGGTGGCCTGGACTAGAGGAGATGAGAAGGTTGTCAGCCACAGGGCTGCCCAGCCTGCAAACGGTCCCTCTAAACATTCCTTAGTTAGAGGTTTTTGTCATTAAGCCTCATCAAGCTGGTTTCTAACAACATGAAATGTAATTTAGGCCCTTACAAAGCAAGTCCTCCCAACTCCATGAAATCTTAATGCCCTGGTATGCCTTGAAGCAATCCTGGTGCCTGGCGGGGAATTCAAGAGTAGTTTGTTCACATGCAGAGCAGAGGATCGTTTCCTCTGTAATCTGTGGGGGCCTTTTGTGACTGTTCAGAAGGTGAGCTCCCCCTTACACAAGTGCATGTGTTCAAGTATGTTGGATACTACTGCAGCTTATAACGACATTAGCAGGTGAGCACTCCTAAGCTCCTGCTATTCCCGTATGGAAGAAAAAAAAAAAAATCCCATTCCCCTTCTTGGAACTGAAAAACAAACTCTTGGGTTCCCTTAGGGCACTTACCTTGAAACTGTCACCTTATATTTGGGCCTGCTGCTGGATTTCAGCGAGTTCTGAAACTCCAAGTGATGAAGTTGCAGTATAGTTTCAGGTGTGCGTATGCTCTCCCCAGCCTCTTCCCTTCCCTCTCAGCTTAGCCAATGCTGGTACCTCTGCGGAATGGGCTCAGAAGTCCATTTAGTCTCTTGTGGTTCTAGGTGAAGCTCGAGAGCAATTTTGCTTCCATCATCTTTGCCATCATGGTTCTGGAAGGTCTTGGTCGTTCACTGGACCCTGAACTGGACATCCTCGAGGCAGCTAAACCACTGCTCATCAAAACTGCAGCTTCTGTCCTCAAATAGACTCTTGCGGCTGCTGCCCCCTCACTGTGCAGGGTTACCTATGCCGTCTGTGAGCTGACGGAGAAAGAAGCTGAAGGTGAGAAATCGCATGTATCTTGGGGACATGCCATACAGTGGTTACTCTCCATTAATGTTGCCTTCAGTTGTTTCAGCCAAGCACCAGGCATGGGATGATGAGAAGGTCTATTCCAGAAACCAGGAAAACTTTGCACAATTGGAGAGTTCTGACTCATTACACGGTTCTAAGAGCAAATGTGCTCTGGTAGTTTTTAAACTGACATATCATGTAGTTTAGGTGCATAAGATCACTGCAGCCTGATGAGAAAAGCACTTACTTGTGCTTTAAGTCTTTAAAAATATGTTCATTGCTCAAGTCTGTTTTGAAATATATTAGGTTAAATATTTGAAGTTAATATTTAGTGACTTACCTGTCACTGTGGTATGAGAAATGATGTTCTAACACCACCTAAGCAACTAATTCAGGCTGAAAAAAGCCCATAAACCTTTTGTCTTTTGTACTTTTAACTTCTGCTTTTATTGTAGAAGTGTCCTGAGATCCTGCATGGAGTGGTCTGTTCTTAGTCACTTTGGATGATAAAAACAGACCAGTCAACTTCATTTTTTTCAAACTTCCTTACTCTAGCACAATACTATAGGAGTTTGTATTATCAACAGCAGAAGAAAATATTTGCCTAGGCAGGAAACCTAATTCCATAATAAAAAACAACTTTTGAGAATATTTGTACTGGTCTTAGTTGTTTGGGGTTTTTTCCTGAAGCTAAAAAAAAAAGAATTATCTTTTTTTTTTCTTCCCCCCGTGTATTTCTTTCCTACTACCCTCCCCCCTGCTCCCCTAGTCTTACCCTAGTCAACTCAAAACGTTAATTAATATGCAAATTCTTGGGTTTTGTTTCCAGTAGTTGCAAAACAAGGAGTCCAAGCATTTTCCTAATGGATGGAAAACACATTGTGAATGTTTAAATAAAGCCAGCAAAAGAGCTAGATCATACATGGCTCTTACAGTCAGTTATTTTAATAGTAGTATTACAATTATTTTATGGCTGTATTTTAATAGTGAGAAACACAGTCTATGAATGATTGGAAATACTGTAATACTACATATATTCCCAGATATACTGTATGTGAAACTGCAGCAGCACAGGGTGTCTGCAGTGGTCTGTTTTCAGATGGTTAAGCAATGAAGAGAAAGTACATAAGCAGACAATCTGCTCTTTTATGGTGATTACAAAATAATGATTAATGTTGTATAAATGAAGTCTGAAAAATAAGTTTAGATTCTGTTCAATATATTTTATGTACTTTAATCATTACGTATTCCACTTCCAAATGCTTCAGGATAAAAGCAGCAGTAGAGTTTAATATCTTTAAAGTTTTGGGTTTGTTTCTCTAAGTCTAGTTAGACTTAAACTCATAACTAGGTACACTGTTGTCCTAACTAGCACATGATTTAGCATAAAAGAAAACTCAAAAAAGAAGAAAAGCAGGCAACCCCCAAACTTTACATTAAAGAAAATCTCCATGTGCTGCCAGCACCCATTTTCCCTCAGCAGTGTGCATGCCCCCTCCCATTTCCACCCAGCTGTGGGGGTAGAGGTGCCAGGCACAGCACTCTGCAGCTTGTGCAGCCCGGGCCGAGTCCATCCGTTACGCAGGTCTTGGGCACAGCCACCTGTGTTCCTGCTGAGCAAATTTCAGCCAACTCTTCCAGAGGCTAAACAGAGCTTAAACCAAATGATGGTAAACCAAATGGTAGAATTCCATGTCTAAAATGCAAAACTGTGCTTCACATGTAGTTTCCATATATGCAGCAAGTTATTTTTTCAGACCTTAATTTAAACAAATAAACAAAGAAAATGTCAAAGCCTTTACCTTATATAGAGGTTCACCTTTCTTTCCTTTTCCCTTTTTTTTTTAAACAAAAATCTCAGGATGGTTCACGCATATTATGAATCCTAAAGTTAAAAATATCCCTTTTAGCTATTAAGGCCTTAGAATGGTTTGTAAATATCTGGATGAGCAACTTGACTTCAGTTTTCCCCAAAAAGACAGTTAAAGGCACAGCCTCTCAGTTATCTCTGGAGGAACACATCCTGGGACCTAATGCTAAGAAACTGCTGGCTGTTCAAAACATTTGGCAGAATTTCAAAGGATCTCCCTTTTACAAGTTTTCTTAATTTTTGTATTTTTTTTTTTTAAGAAACTGCTATTATCACTGGTGCTGTGTTCCTGTAAAAGGGGTGAATTTTTATAATACTTATGCTTTTGCCGAGTGATGTGCCAGAAAATGCATAACGTGTTTCTAAGTGTACACAGAATGTGAGGCAACAACATTTAAATGTTGTATCTAGTTTGGTTCTAGGTATTACTTAAAACAAGGTATCGCAAATATTATATATATTTTAGCATAATTCTGTGTAAAGTAAGAACATCCTTCGATATAGCTCTGAGTGTTCCAGTGAATAAATTCTGCCATGTCCATTCTCCTTTCCTAAATACCCACATGAAAAGAACAGCTGTATTTCTGGTTATCCAGGGCTGGTAATAGCATTCTCTGTGACACAGCCACTGTATTTTGTACCTCTGATGATATGAGGAAGAAGGACAGCACTTCAGGATGTGACAACCATAACCTCCTCCGCCTCCCCTTTGTGAATGAAGGCATCTCCACTCATCAGAGTACAATGCATTAAAAAACCCCTCTTCTCTCCTTTCCTGTAGCAGAAGACCGCCTCTTGATGTGCCTTACTGTTTACTTTCAGGGGAGGGGAGAAGCCAGTAGCTTCATTAAGGAAAGTCAGTAACACACTTAGAAAATCAGGGGAGTCATGAGCAAGCTGCATTGTGGACTCTGGGTGGAAACTATGTTTTACCCTATAGCCTGAATGGGGAACTCTTCTCCTCCTATAGCGCTATTGGCTACCTTGTTTTCTTTCTTACACAATTTGTTAACTGTCAATTTACCAATTCATTTGTCTTTGTAGCATTCTCCTCATTTAGTCATGGTGAACAAAAAGTCTGTTTATTCTGACCAGGTGCCCTACCTGCAAAGATATCTGAGTATCTTTCTGACAAAATGTCCTGCTTTTGGAGACTGCCAGCCTGAAAGTGAGATCGTAGGCAAAACAGACCCCTAAGCCCACCATTGGGTTTGGTCATTCTCCAAAGACAGGTATTTCAGAGACCAGACATTTTTCCCATCACAGTGCCTAGAAAGGGGGGGGGGCTTGTCACCAAAAAAACATTTCCTTTTTGCATTTTGGGCTTCTCTAAGTCATTCCTCCTCTAGGGGAGTGGCCTACGTATTCCAAGCAGTATGTACGCCCTGACAGTAGAAGATCTACACTTACCGGGAGCCCAAGCTGGAGGGTTCCAGGTTGTCTTACCAGGTTTTCTGAAGCACCTCTCATGTCACTGGATCCCTGCCCTGCCCCCTGCAGCAGTTTTGGCAGGAAGTAGCACAACTTTGTCATATGCATGGGGGCTTCTTCCCTACGGATCTCTGCAACTCACGTGCAGTGGGACACTTGCAAGAGTCAGTTGTTAATAACGGAAACTGCAATGGATAATTTACATTGTATTTGAGCACATACATTTTCATTGCTGCAGTTGTCTGGTCTGAACGTCCAGCTGGTCTCCAGCTCTCCTTCCCCATATTTCATGTAACATTAACATAGCAAGGTAAGTCATATGACGACAGCATCACATAACTACACTTCCTATTTTGTGTGGTCCTTGACCTTTAAGAAATGTGCTTTTCTGGCGCTGCTTTGGAAGAAACACAGCAGGGCAGAAAGTTCCCAGAATGCAGCAGCGGAAGCCTTTTCAGGCCTGTGTTTAATTTCCCTGCAGGCTTGTGTTAGCAGGACATAGCCTGTGCTTCCACCACTCCACTTGAGGGGCTCATTCCCAGGGCATTTCTCCCGACCTTCATTCTTGTTCTTTACCTCCTACTCTACTGTATGGCCCATGCCCTCACGTGACTTAATTTCTTTCTCTGCCATTTGCATCTTGAAAGCGGCTACAACCTGATGCCCCTCTGCCGGGCTGTAGGTCTTGTGCGCTTTGAATCACTTTTGTAACTCCCAGGTTCTCTGTTGCTCTGCTCTGGATTGCCCCATGATGCTCACCAGCCTCAGACTACAACACTCGGCACTACAGGTGCTGGCTCCTTGGAGTCCTACGGAAAGAGCCAGCCCCCTTCAGATGCCTTTGGGGCAGAAACTCGGCACTATGGCTGTGTTTCATATTAAATACCAGGGTCGCTCTTGGTTGCAGAGTGGGTCTGTCAGCAGGGTCACTACATGTGCTTAAGACAGAAGAACAGTTTGGCAGAGGTGGACTAGAATAGTAATTCCAGAGAGAAAGGCATGTAAAGGACAGAGCAGTGAAAATGCACACTGGCTGCAATGAAAGGGAGATTAAAGACCTCTCCAGGAATCGTAATTCCACTTGTCACAATGGCACTCAAGCACCCAAGCTCCAGCACACTGCCTCACACCTACAAGATACAGATCAGGTCTGCAAACTGCTCAAGGGCCTGCTTACCCACTCTGCAGCTTCCTTACGCTAGCAGTGATGCCCGGAGCATCAAAAGATTCTGTTCTCGGAGGTACTGCTGGAGGTCACAGAGTTTTTGGCCTTCTTTTTCCATCTTCTGGCGTGAACGGTCTCTGCTCTGGAATACTCTCCCTTTGGCAGCCTGCTGCTGCTTTTGTTGCCTGTCCTGCTCTCGTGATTCTTGTTCCAACATTTCCTGCCGTGACTGCGTTCTGCTCCTGAGAAAATCCTACATAAAAATGAAGATGTTTACAATTGTACAGCCAGATTTCATGCTGAATTTCATCCACAGTTATCACTGGCAGAAGTCAGAAATGGGTATAATCTATGGAAATTCATTCCTTGCATGCAGAAAGACTGCTTCTATGGCAGAGATGGAGAATTTTACTTCCCATCTTTCATCTTTATACACGTGTCAAAAAACCGTTACCCTTCATTTATTTACCTCTAAATGTTATAATTATATTGGATATAAAATAGGTGAAAGAGAAATACTCTGGATGGTGCCGCTGCTGGAAACACGGTAGTACAGGAAAAACATTTCTGGAATTGCCCTTACCAGCCTTTCTTTCTCTTGTTCAAAGCTCCTTTCATTGCGTTCTGCCTGCAACTCTTCTCTCTGCAAACGCTGTGTCTTTAAGAACTGCAGCCTCTGACTTGCTTTCCTCTTCTCCTCCTCTGGCAAGGATTCCTTCCTGCTCCTCTCTGCCCCAGCAGCCTGGAGCAGTGCCATGTGCTGCAAAGCTCTGTCTTTGTGCTCCAGCTGTTTCTCCAGCCCTTGCAACGTTCTCTGATGCAATCGCTGCCTGTTTCCAAAACAAAATTTCTCAAATTTCTCAGAAAGAAAGCGCAATAAAAGAAAAAGACAGTGTATGAGACACAAAGCAGATACTCTGGCAATCTGTGCTCAGTTAACATTCCAGGACTCTTTGTTAGGTTATGAGGGTTAAACCTGGGTCCTAAACAGAGGTGGCAAAACACCCAAATGGGCTGGTGCCTGATGTCAGCTAACTGCAGTCATCCATTCACCTGACTACATAACCTGGTGCGGCTGCGAGTTCTTGGCCCTGAAGACCAGGAACCAAGGAAATGGACTGTGTGGACAGGGCTGTAGGACTAATTCAGACAACTGGGTGGCTATGCGTATTGGTGGTGGAGCCGCAGGGGCAACAGAAGACATGGAAGGAGGTGGGTCATGGGTGCAAGGACCTGCCAAGCTTAAGTGGACTGTGGGGCCAGGGGCAGGGAACAGGGGTTTGGGAGGCAAAAGGACTTTGGGTCTGAGGATGAGATTGAAGGGAAGTTGCCCTTGGAGGTAATGCTAAAGGTGATGAGTCCATGCGTACCCACTCGCCCGTACCTCAAGCATCAATTTTATTCCCGTTAATAAACCACCACAATGACTCTGCAGAGACTTAGCGTGAGGCACAATGCGTGATGTTCAGAGACTGAATGAGAGCACCAGGGAGTGGACATTACCAACCTTCCAACATTTACTACAAAAAGCAGTTAGCTCCTAGGTATTACCTCTGGTTGTCCCTGCGCAGCTGGCGTCGGATGCTATCTGCCTCTTGCTGCCGCTCCCTCTTCAGCTGCCTCTGTTCCTCTTGCCACCTTTTGTGCTCAATCTTGGCTCTGTTGAAGTCCATCTCTTTCCATCTCTCCTGAGATGCACCATTAAGGATTGATTTCTAAGAGAAAAAACTCAAACCCTTAATCTCGTCAGTATATTTTTCTAATGATGTAAACTGTAAACCTACAGAACAGCTTTGTCTTCTAATGTCACTCCTGAGCTCTGGAAGCCACACTATATTGTCACTTCCCATCCATGAAAACACTGAGTATGATGCTAAAACCTATACAAAAGATTAGGCTTAACCAACAAAGGGGTGCCTGAAAATACAGTTTTAAGAGTTCTTCATAGTTCAGTGGGCTGTGCTGTTCTGGTTGTTCCGGTGTGGAGCCAATGCTTAAAACTGCCCAATCGTTGTGTCAGCCTCTGGATTGGATGGAGAATACAGGTTCTGACCACAAATCATATTACAGATTCCTCATTAGATTTTATTAGAAAGAGAAATATCTGCCTCCCTCTGGCCAAACACAAAATCTTCCTGGAGTTCTGTGCAGGTGTACTAACTCTTCATTTCCCATTGTCTGAGATTTCTACCCACGGTCAAGCGGTCTTTGTGTTTTCTTCAGTAGTAGCTGCATTTCAATCCTGGGCAGTGTTCCTAATTTGCATTTTTAAATGCACTGTGCTGTGTAAAGAGATGAAGGAGCACCTACAAGGCTTCTTTTCACAGCCATAGTGCAGTATTTATTTCTTTTGTACTCCTTACAGAGCCCTGTATGAGGGAAGGAGCAAGGAAACATCACCAAAACTTAGACGTGCGTTCCAGTTTACATTGCTAAAGCTGTTTGGGGCTGTTTACACAAAATATTTTCCTCTCTCAAACGCATTCTCCCTTCTCCTATTCCCCGCTGCAATTAGCATGTTCCTGCCATTAAGCTGCTCCTCTGCAAACAGAATGTCTCTTTCCAGTTCTTTCCTGAGGACGTCTCTAATACCACAAGCTGGAAAACACTACAGGGCCTTCAAGTCATGTCCCTGCCAGTCTCATGTAGCATTTGGACTGATTTCTTTTAACACATTGGTCTGTATGGCTTCCTAGGAGTAGTAAACACCTTTGTTCTCCAGTGTTCTCCAGTTCTTTGCAAAAACTGTACCTTGTGGGTGGTTTGTGTTTAATGACATACAGAGGGAGAGATCAAAGAAAGAATCAAAGGTGTTTTATAGGTGGGAGGTGAACAAATGGTGTTATCTAGCAGGTAAAGGACTGGCCTAAGGATTAGGAGACTTGAAGTTTCACCCCAGCCCTGACATGCACTCTCTGCTATGGGATTCAGCTGACTACCTAGACTTTCTCTTTTTTTGCTTTCAGTATCTGTAAGAGAGGAATAATTTTTTGCTATCTAGTAGAGCTGGCTGAGAGGTTTATTTAGAAAAGATTAAATCTGAAATAAAAATCTCTATCAAAAGTGCTGAGTAAAAATACCAGAAGTGCCCTGTTCCTGTACAACACCGATTCCCAAGTGGGAACCTTATGTTTCTATTTATGCATAGCCGTTATTCTACATAGGCATTATTTTTGCTGCAGTAAAAACCTTTGAGAAAGAGATCAAAGGAGAGTATATTCTCACGTGACATAAACAAATCGCTTGATCCTAATAGCTAAATCTAGTTTGGACCCAATACTTACTGTAATGCTTTTGTCTTTTAGAAGATTTAGAAGATTTGTGGATCTCCTAGCCTGCACGTTGGAGGTACTGTGTGGTCTCTGTACACGTAGAGCTGATTTAATGGTCAGGCTGTCTTTCTCTAGTGATTGATTCACTCTGCCAAAGAAGCTTTGGCGCCTGAAAGGAACCAAAGCACTGGTTCGCAGGGAAGGGCTCCTTTGGGAGTGCTGGATTGGAGCTTCTGCCACTCTGGACTCAAAAAGACCTTTCAAATAAATTAGGGCAGGGACATAAGAGGTTATAGACAGCTTATAAAAAGAAAGCAAATTAAAAAAATAAGGTCTTCTCATATAAAATATATTCAAGCAAGACTTTTATAACTTAGTACCAACATTTTCCTCTGAGAAAGTGGGACATTTTTTAGTCTCCACAAAACAGGTCCCAGCTTTCAAAAAAACCAAGTTTGCCATTGCAATGAAGCAAGAGTTTTGCCTGGTAACACAAGATCACTGACTGCGCTTACAGCTACTCAGGCTAAGGGGTTGTTTACATGGTATTTCACAGACAGACATGAGCTGCTTCTGCCAGTGCTCCAAGACAAGCAAAAATTATAAATTTCTTGATAGTGCAAAGCCTGAGCTATACATCCTGCTGAGAGACAGAGGAAATTAGCTTGGGCACAACACTGTGCTAACACAGCTTTTGGGGAACAGAACATGGGCAGAGCTTGCTCGCACCTTTCTGCTAAAGAGAGCGTGGATCTGAGTGGCAGTGTTGCATGGAATGATGCTGGAACACCAGCTGGGAGGAAATGTGCACTTCTGTTTATGACTCTTCATTCTCCCTCTACCAGCAGTGACACAGAGCAAAGCAGTAACACTTGGAGAAAGCTTTAGGCTTTCAGAGTCCTCACTTAATGCCTGCACTTGTCACAAAACTAGCTTAATGAGAACAGCAACAATTTGATTGAAAACATGATCCAGCCCCTTTTGGATGATAAGGGAACAAATGTTTACTCGATAACATTATAAAGCAATCATTTTCAGCACAAATAAGAGGAGGAGTGTTCTGCAGAACGGTCCTGGTGAAATCTTTTTGCTATAGGCAGTCATAGTTAACATTACAGATTAATTTTTAAGGTAAGGAAATTTTATAATAAATAATGTTTATAGTGAGCATTATGATAAAGGTTAAGAAAACCCAAAAGCTGCTACTGCAGTAGCTGTAAAAGCCAAAAACCCCGAACGTCCATCTGAAAATACTTTCACCTTGAGAAGAAGATGAACAACTTCTCAAAGCATACTACCATTAATACCTACATATAATGATACTATATTATGGTGGCTATATTCAGCATGGCGTTACGCATTTCCTTTTGAAACATCAAGAACTACGGCAACAGATCTTAGACATGATGGCCTGCTGCACTGATACTGTGTGGCAAGTCTTATGTTTGGATAAAACAGTTACAATTTCAATACCATGTTCGTGCTTAACATTAGCCTCAGATTCAGCATCCCGCTGTGTGCTGTCTGCTTCTTCCTTGTGGACTGCCTCCATTAACCAGCTGTCTGTGTTGACAGCAGTATCAACCATAGCATGAGCCATCTCCCTCTGAGGACTCTAGAAATAACAAGAAATGCAATCACAATCCAGGCCTGATAAGGAAAAGAATAGGTTAGTTTCATGAACTTACAGCGTAAGATCTTAAGTTGCAACTGAAGTTTGAGAAAAACTAAAAAAAACTCTAGGGAAGAAACAAAGAACTCTTAAGTAGAGTAATTTCTGATCACTTTGTGGGTTTCTCTGCATCTTCAAATGACCTAAACACTGTCAGTACTTCTGCCTGGAAGGGTCCAAACTGGTACAAAAGAAATCAGGCCAGAGGAGCTCTGGCTGAAAGACAGTTGCGTTTCTGGCACATGCCAGAAATCAGGATTCTAACTCTTGCAGAGCAATGGAGAAAAGCTTGGCAGCAGCTGGTGCACATTAACCTCCTCCTTACTGATCCTCATCCAGTGCCCTGTTCACAAGCACCGAATCAACTACCGAGGATCACAAAAGTCTCTTTTGGTCTTTGCGAGAGGTGACGCCTCTATCATGGGTGGAGAAATATCTTAATAGCATTATGCCAGGGACTACCTTGGTATGGAACAATCCTTACTGTGATCCTTATCAGGTGTAAAGTCTTCTGCCTGACACATTTTCCTGCCTTTACCTCCTTCACGCAGAGGCAGGATGTAGAGGAACTGGGCTATGTGACACTTTTCATATTCTGCATCCATGGAAGAGGTTCTAGGAGTCTGCTCCAGCCAGTGACAATGACAGCTTCTAGCTCTTTCCCAGGTTAAAGGATCAGGAAGACAGTGCAGAGCAAAATCTCTCCATTTTTTAGCAGGCATACATAAGGGCCAGGCCTAAAACCGCTAGCAATTTTTTGGTACCAAGAGCAGAAAACTTGAGGTAACAAAGCAGGCATTAAACAAATAGCAGATCACATGTTAACAGAAGAGCCAGGGTGAAGCACTTTTTACCTTTTTAGGTTCTATAACCTCATTGTCCTCTTCCAAACAAGACTGAACATCTTTTGGAGCATTTTCTGTCTTCAATCTCTTATCTTCCTTTTTCTCTTCCTCTCTGGAAACACTTTCTGAAGACGAAATCCTCACTTCAGACAGTTGCTCGTCTATTTTCTTGCTGAGCTCTTCTTTAGTCAAGCTTGTTCCTGGGATGAAGGCATCTTCCTGCTGCACTTTGCACCCTGTAGGCCATGTGGGTTCCCAGGCTGCAAGGCAGCAATGGGGAAGCGAGGTACACCTACAGCTGCACTTAGCACATGGCTGAGTGGAATACAGACCCCTCGGCCAGTAGTCCAGGTCTGAGTGACCCTGTCTGTAATGGCCTGAGGCTCTATAACCCGGTGTCACGATGTACGGGTAATCCAAGCTTGAATCTACCACCAGCTGCCTGGCTGCTAAAGGCATCTGCAGTTCTAGGATGATGCGTTCGCTTAAGGGCAGAGGGATCCGCAGAGCTTGGTCAGAAGACACCTCCTTAGTCTGCCCATTCCAGAAATTCACAAGCACTCCCCTTCTGTTGGGTGCTGTGCATATTAAAAAAAAAAAAAAAAAGGCAAAGAATGTATTAGAAGCATGTCAACCTGTGTGATTTATCTCTTAGAAAGCAGGAGATAAAAGTAACAGCTTGTGTTTCAGACAATTTTGTAATAACTTCCATGATTTTTTCTTTACAGGTTTAAAATTCGACCTTCTTTTGAACTTCCTCTGAAGAGACAACAGATAGCAAAATTCTCGCTCGTCACAGTGAGCCAGGATTTTACCCTGCAGAAGCTGGAAACTAGACTAACAGATAATCAGGTGAATACTCATGAGGGCCAGGAACATTTTTCTCCTTGTGTTGGGAGGACGCCCGCCCCCAACTTTTTAGGAGGTTTCCACTCATAGAACAAAGCAAAGGCTAACTCTGGGAGCTGCATTAATTCTGGCACTGAAAAAGAACAGGCTGCTTAGTGCCAACAACAACAACAAAAAAAAGATGATGAAGAGAACCCAAGCAGCAGGTGGTGAATTCTCCATGGTTGAGACCACTCTCTTTTCTCTATAGTGACCAGCAACCGTGGCGAGTCTAGTGCTATTAAGAAAGCCAATACCCCGTACCTAAACATGCCTCCTTGTTCTCCATAATCTTTAGCACAGTGCCCGGGCCAAAACGTTCAGCTTTAGCCTCCCATGGTGCCAAGACCCTGTCTCCTGGAGCAAGAGGCTGTTGCCTGGCATCCTCGTAGTGGAGAATGTCGTAGAGAGGCGTTTCCTGCATGCGAAGCTGTACCTTGCCTTTCAGAGTGCGGCTTTTGTCAAACTCAATTAAAAAGCGTTCCCTGGAGCTCTACAAGAGTAAAACATGTGGTTTGCAAGACAGACATCTGGGTCCAATTAACGGCCAAACATAAGTGCTAAGAGGGAAGTGGCAGAAATCCCAGGAAGCGGACCATGATCTGGGAATGTAGCTTTCCTCTTCTACCAGGTTTTTCACTGTACTGTGTCCATATTGGACTTTAAAAGTAATTAAAAAGCTGGGGCTTAAGGGGCTGACAGCCTTTCTCTTCCTTTCATTTTGGACTTAGATTTTGGTAAGAACACAATTAGCACGCTAAGGCAGAACTTTACCAGGAAAACCTCCCATCAGAAAAAGAGTAGCCAAAAGAAACTGCTGTGTATGATGCAGTTCGTTACACAGTAATCAAAAGGATAACAAATCAGTAAAATGTCATAACTGTCATAAATTTAAATGCTTTAATTTAAGCCTTCAGCAACGGGTGTGGGGAAGATCTATTACCGAAATCCCAGCCTTCTCTGCAGACCTATGAGTGCACTTACACAAATAATGCTGTCAGCCCTACTCCAGCTAACGTCACTCATGCCGTTAGCTGTCCACATCTGCTCCACCCCACACTGGAGCTTACAGCCATCCTCAGCTATACTAGCATCACTATTTATTTAACTAACCTGCAAACTGGGAAATGCACCGGATTTTTAAAGAAAGCCTGCAGAGGGGGATTTTCTGTCTGGCATCCAAAATCGTCTCACAAATCCCAGAAACATAGAAGGAAGAGAACGAGGAAAGCTCTCAGTTTGGTAAGGAGGAGGTGCGTGGAGGCAGACATTTTGGATTACTAATACTAATGCTGTTTAGCTAATTGGCTTTGCTGCTAGACTGGGTGGAAGTAGACAATAGGGCTAAGGGACCTGTTTTGTTTGATTGTCTCTGAATAACAACTTCTTATAACTACTAAAATGGATTGATTTCCAGGCTGCTTCTGCTTGCAGGACTCCTCGCAGTAAACAGCCAGTCATCATCAGGAAACAGATGAAAATAGGATGTGGGGAGAGAATAGAAGTGTATCACAGGAGAGCCACCCTACAGCAAGGCCGTGGGAAGAACAGGAAGAAGACACACAGATCCTAGGGAGAGCCTTTTACAAGCATAGCTCCCAATAAATATCTACCTTCACCTCTTGGGCAACGTGGCCCAGGTAGTAATAGCCATCAGCTTCTCTCCTTGCCAACACACGAGCCCCTCTCATGAAACTGGAAGCCTCTGAGGATGAATCAATGAAATTCCTTTTCGCTGAGGATATCAAGGGCATACAAAGGGAATCTGGGTTCCATGCACAAACAGGAATGCTGTAGAGAACAAAAATACAAGAAGTAACGAAGACCTTGGCAACAGAACTTCTGCAACTTGCTGCAATGAAAACAAACTAAATCCACATGGGACTCCCACCCCACCACCCCGCAATAATTGTCTTTGTTTCCTAGCTTTTTTCTTCTTTGCATTTCCAGTGACCCATCTATAGATTTTGAACTTACTGTGTTACTGGACATCTTGGCAGCAGAGAGCCACAGGGATCTTTATTAGCTGTGTGACAACACTGGGCGTGTGAGATGGACATGGAGCTTACCTGGAGAGGGGAAGGAGGAGATGGAAGCAGAAGATGAGCATGATTTTTGAACATTTAAATCCTTAAACAGGAATATTATTTATAAAATTGAAATTTACTTTCCAGTATATTACTTCTCTCTTTGTTTTAATACTTCCATCATATCTTGTGGTGCTATGCTGTTTATCTGTAAGCTCATCACAAATTGTTTTGATTTTAAGAAATCGAGCTTGGAAAGAAGAAAATACAAAAATATAAGAACTGTATGATAAAAAAACCCCTTGTGTTTCACCTGCCTTCTATTCAGCTGCTGGATATGTAGCAGGTGTATCACTGTTTCTTCAATCATGATGAGATTTCTTCTTCAAAGGACAACGTGTCATTTCAAGAATACACAAAGCTACAGCGGATATCCATTTTGGCCCATCTCAGATCCTATCATCATTTTATTCTACTGTGAAGGAAGCACTAAGCGTGCGATTTTAAATCAGAACAGTTTTCCTTCAGCTGCTGGATATGTAGCAGGTGTATCACTGTTTCTTCAATCATGATGAGATTTCTTCTTCAAAGGACAACGTGTCATTTCAAGAATACACAAAGCTACAGCGGATATCCATTTTGGCCCATCTCAGATCCTATCATCATTTTATTCTACTGTAAAGGAAGCACTAAGCGTGCCATTTTAAATCAGAACAGTTTTCCTTTCTTTCTAGTTCTTACACCTTTTAGTTAATTGATTTTAGTAAAGAGCTTTGAACCTGGAAAACACACCAATTTCTCAGGACAAGGTGCAGCTTGGAGACCGGCAGCAGAATAGAGGCAGGGCGGGGGTTCTGGAGCTGCCTCTCCCATCCCCAGGAGCAATGCAGGCATACCAACCCCGCTGGCTTCCTCCCAGTCAGTCTGCCCCTGGCTCTCAAACAGTAGCTTATGGGCAGCCAGCGGTCCCGTGTGCATTGCCTCCTCTTGTACCCTGCTTCTTACGCAGCTACCCAAACTCTCCAAGCAAGGAAGGGCTGTAAGGTCAATGAAAGGAGCTGAGGTCAAGGAAGAATGAAGAAGGTGGGAATTGAGCATAGAAGACAAAGTTGCCTTTGCAGGTCAAAGCCAGCAGTGGAGCCACCTGGCCTGAGCAGGATGGAAAATGTGAAATGTTTGAGAACAATGACACAGTTCTAATATGCCAGGGACTATGAGAAGGGAGAAAGACAAAATGCAAGGGAGCTGGGAGGTGGCGTCGACAACAAAGCTATGAACCTTATATTAAAGCATTCAGCTTTTACGGAAAAAGAGAAACTCGCGTTGCATTAATCGTGTGTTAAGTAAAAACAATGGTTGAATAGTTTGCCGCTATTCCCTGTAAACTGTTGCTGAAAATGCGTTAGGGCTGTTACGAGACTCAGAAGAGCAGGGAACTTAAAATCCCTTAACTACAAGGACGGGTAGACATGCAAAACCTATGCTGTTTCAGCTGAGGAATTCAGCTGTTTGGGATGTTAACAGATTTAGAAGATGTTGTTCTTTATTTAAAAGACAGTATTCAACCACCCCCACCTAAGAGTAAAACAACATTGGAGTCTGTGAATCAGGATACACCGGCTGTAGGCAAAGCTGTACAGTCACCTAGCAAAGAAAATGTAAAATCAAAGTAAGGCATTTGTTCTTTCCTTCGGGATCTTCACCTTCACCTGTCAGAGACACCTCTTTTCGACTGCTGGTCTGTGAAGTTCAGTGAAATCACGTTACAGGGCGAGTCTTCCCCTGCAGAAGCAAATGGAGCTAGACCAAGATATACCCGAATTTGACCCCAGGTGTTGGCAATGATGCCTTTTGCTCAGGGGCTACATGAAGTGCTCTTTCCTCACAAGCAGAGATTTAAGGTACAAGTAGTGTACAATTAGAAGTGTGGATATGCCAGCTTGGGATATCGGGTATAGCCTGTCACAGAGATGCCAAACCTATTTTAAATCTTTGTCCACAGACTGCTTTGTTCATAAGCTGCCAGGCAAAACAAGGTTACCCTTCCAGAGGGTCACAGAAACTCTTTCCCAGTTCTACTTTGTGAAATGTCATCCAATAAAGAGTCAGGAGCAACTAATTAGTACACACTAATCTTATATTAGTGGTATACCTTTTCAGAAGCAGTAGGGGGGAGTCTGATCGCTTGAAAGGACCCCCCTGATTGTCTGGCTACTTTCTCCATTATTTTTTGCTCGCTTCTTTCATGATCATCCGGATCTCCCAGAAGGCATACAACATGTACTGGATGCAACTTGTTCTCCACAAGAAGTTGGCAGATTTCCTCCGACTCTTGCTCTGGGAGTACGTCAGTGAACAGATACACCGACTGGCAGGCTGGGTCCTCAAACGCCACAGCCAAGCCGCTCGCAGCATTCGTGCCATTCTCAAACCGCAGGGATCGAATCCAGGCTGCTGCTTCAGTGACACTACTGAGCGAACATCTGACGAGGCAGTTGCACCATTTTAACACCTATTAAAAAAAAGGAAGGAAGGAAAAGGAAGGAAGGAAGGAAAAGGAAGGAAGGAAGGAAAAGGAAGGAAGGAAGGAAAAGGAAGGAAGGAAGGAAAAGGAAGGAAGGAA